GGTTGTGATGAATGGACTAAGTGATAACAAAGCACTGTAGGCTAGGAGGAGTAAGCCTGGTTGTGATGAATGGACTAAGTGATAACAAAGCACTGTAGGCTAGGAGGAATAAGTTGAGTTTTAGACTCTTCAGTACTCTTGAAGGAAAAGGTATGACTGGATTTTCTGGAAAAGCTGACCCTCTTAATATTTTAAGGTGTGTTGTAAACACAAATTTTGGTATCATTTCTTAATTTTCTGAGAGCCATTGAATGGTACAGCTCCCAGAAAAGCCGCAAAACAAAATTCATCTTGGATTTTTGTTATTACATGTAAGAGTACTTTCATTCAGTATTATCCAATCAGAAGTTGTATAACACGTCACTCAGTATTAACCAATAAGAAGTTGTATAACACGTCACTCAGTATTTACCAATAAGAAGTTGTGTAACTCGTCACTCAGTACTAATCAATCAGAAACTGTATAACATGGCATTCAGTGTTACCCAATCTGAAGTTGTGTTACTCGCCATTTTGCGTATTACGTATTCAAACAGTTATTCCAAGAAGTTGATTGCCAGATAATAAAAACAAATATTAAATACTCTACGTGTAAATCAGGACAAAATCATTCTACTTGTAAATGTTAACAATTCTTTATGAAGTTTGTAATAAAGCATTGCTTTATTCATAATAGGGGAGGCCTGTACTTTTATTTAATGTAACGAAAAGTAAGAATGTCGGTCATCATAAACCTGATGAAACTAATCGGTTAAATATCTTCCATCATATGGTACTTGTAACGTATTTTTATTACAGCCATTTATACTTGCATGTGTACAGATACGTTAGTTCTAGATCAACAAGGCTGCTCTAAAAAGTTAGATGATCGGCACACATATGATAGATTTTTGTCGTATACTCTAACAGCAAGTAAGAATTGTGTAAATTTGCACTTGACATCAACCAAACACAGATTTCCTTGCGCTCACTGATTGTACTTTCCCTAATATGTCCTTGTTGGGCCAGCGGTAAATTTACGCACTTACAGCGCCAAAATCTGAGGTTGGATTCCCCGCGGTGTGAGAGAGTGAAAATAAGTCACTGAGTAGAGTTTTACTGAAAAAAACATCCAATCCCGTGGCTCAGCGATAAGTCTATGGATTTATAACGCTAAGATTGTGGTTTCGATGCTCGCGGTGGGCACATTGCAGATAACCAATTATGTAGCTTTGCGCTTATAAACAAATTCCCTAACCTTTCATGACACGCAATATAACACATAGCAAAAGTATTGTTATTCTTTCGAAAAAGTACATCCCTGTAAATTTATTCGTGTGAACGTTTTTCCACTTTTTTTTTCCCCTATAAACGGTCCGATACAATTTTTCCGTGCCCGGCATGGCCAGGTGGAT